TTACTACTACAATATATATATATATATATATATATATATATATATATCGATACTTGCAATCGATTTATCGACTTGCGACTAAGATAGTACGAACAAGACAGAATAACCTAACTTGAACATCGTTCGCGTGATGTTTCTCGTTTGACTATGCGCTCAAAATTTTTTCGCCGACACTGATCTACACTGATCGAAGTCGACAAGATGCTACATCTGAGAAAGTACATAACACTCGTCATCCGCTCACAACCGTATTTGTCGCGATGCAAAGCGACGAGTTGCTTATTACAGCGTGGAGATTATGTTTTCCAATACGTACAACCCGGGTTGGTCCGGCACGCATATTTGCGACCCGAGAGTTACATCTCGACGTGCAACAGAACATACAGTACGACGGTTACACAAACATCGCAGTCTAATATTATTGATCAGAAATTAATGTTATTCTGTGACGATGTTAAAAAGGGACATATATCGGCGAGCAATATTAAAGAGATTATAGAATTATATGAAAAGAACGATTATCAGTTACCTCCTGACATTGGTGTATTACTGCTTAGATGCTGCGGCGATTTGCTTTCCGATTTGGAAAATACCGAAAGAAGACAGCTGGCGGATCAGGTAAAATATAATTTGTTTTATAGTAAAAAGAGATATTGCTTATTCAAATAAGCTAAATTTTGTTATGTAGGTATGGCGTTTGGCGAAGAAGAACAGTGAAAAATTGACATTGGAGTATTATAATACTCTATTGGAGGTTTACAAAGAAAACTCACAATCTGTGGATCCCCATAAGTTTCTTTGTAACATGAGTGTAGAGCCAGATGAAAATACCTATCGCCTATTGTTCAATATAGCTACAAAAGTGAATAACAGTAAATGTCTATGGGATATCTTGTCTATGACAAAAGACAAGCACATAGTCATCTTTGAAGAAGCAGCAAACACATTGGTACAAATTTATATATCTAATGGTAATATTGCCGAGGCTGAGCAAGTGATAACACTAATGCAGGATGCAAAACTTCCTACAACCAAAGCATATACTGAATTAGCATGCAGATATGCGAAACTTGGTGATATTCCAAATTTAGTCAAGATATTGAATGAAGAGCCACAAGACGATTTAAGTCTTTTAAAGATAATAAAAGTTTTGAGTATATCCAATAATGGTAGGCATATCCCATATGTCTTGAATTTTTTAATAACCTCAGTACCAACGATCGAGCCCAAAATTTCTAAACTAATTATAGAATTGATAAATGCCGATCAAATTATGGATGCTCATACTATTATAAATTGTTTGGCAAAAAATAATACAACAAAGGACATTGCTCCGATTTTTGTAAATAGTTTCATGAACGAATTAATCATATTAAACACACCGATTAATGATATTATAAAATATGTGAATGACTTTATCGATTTCGATTGCAATCGGCAAGCTTTGCTTGATACAGCAGAGATTGGCTTGAAGCTTGGTAGAGAAAAGCTATGTCTCGCGGCATTCGAAGCAATGAAAATCAAACGAATGGAAGTACGGCCACATTACTACTGGCCTTTATTGATAAAAGCACATCATGAAGAAGGAGAGACTCAAGTATTTTCACTCATAAAATCTATGATAGATGCGAATGTAGAAGTGGATTCTGATACGCTACTTAATTTTGTATTTCCATACATAAATACTACGAATCCGATTGCCACTTTACAAAAGTTATTGCAGATTAATATAGCACATGCTGTTATTTATACACCTCTATTATCTTTTCTACTATCTCAAAATCGAATACAGGATCTAGAACTACTGTATAAATATAATAAACATAGCAAAGTATATTTTAAAGAACTAATGAAACCTCTGCTGAATGCTTATCTTGCTACTAAAGATTTCAAAAATTGTATAATGTTATTAACAGCATTTCCACAAGGTCGCGATTTTATTGGTATCTTCTTGAGATCATTGTTAAAAGTCAGTTCGATTAAGATAGAGGATCTAGAGGAATTGAAGAAACATAAAGTTAAAATATCACAGGAGGATGCGACTATTATTAAAAACAGATTGCAGGAGAAAGATATTTACGTCACGACGAAACAATTGAATCTAATAGACGATTTGGTTGATCCTTCCATGGAAAATTCGAAAATGTTTCGTTCAGCATACTTAAGCCCAAAGGAATTATCATGTGTTTTAATCGAGAGGAATTTACAAAAAAGAAATACTAAAAATATTTTACATAAATTACTAATTGGATATTGTGAAGAGAATAATCTCAAGAAGGCCGAAGAGATAAAACAAGAATACGATGCACGCCAATACGAGTGGACGCCTGGCATGAAATTGACTTTGTTTCAGTTATATCTCAAACATGACAAGTTAAAAGAGGCCGAGGCATTGTTGTCTGATCTGCAAGTGCCTAATAAATTCCACATAGATAAGAGCAAAATCTTGATGTATGTCACTGCATTGATAAAAGCGGGTGAAATTACAAAGGCCTTCAAAGTTATTAATACATTCGATACTGATGATAGACAAATCATGCAACAACAGTGTTGTACACTTCTACAAATTTTAGCACAGAGTCGGCATCATGGATATACAAGAAAGATGCTAAACTTGCTTGTGGAGAGAAAATACTGCAAAATAAACACAGAACTATTGAAACCAGTGATGGCGGAAGCATTGAAAAACAACAATATTCTGGAGACTGTAGATATATTTAAGAAATGCGCACAAAAGTATCATAAGACCCCGTTGGCGTTGGAACTTTTAACAACTTTGTTAAAGCAGAAGGCTACTTCAAACTTGTACAACATAAAAAACTGTATAGAACAAGTGTATGAAACAATAGTTACTATCTATTCCGTTGATGTAGCGAATACATTATTGGCGATAGCATTAGGAATATTAAACGAGAAAAAAAAACTGCAAACTTTATTACAGGTAACCGAAATATTTCTATTTGTAGTATTGAAATATATGTATACATTTTTTATTTGCATATAATAAAGAGAATGTATAAATAATATATTCCTAAAATAATTTATTGTTGGATTTTTTTGAAATTTGGAAAACAATTGATCATAATCTCTTGATTTATATTTTTTGTTACAGAAGCACGAACTCTCCATGGAGACTCTTATATACTATATCAAAAATGCAAAAAATAGTAGTGATCTAGATGGTTTATGGAATATTTTTATAATAACTAATACAAATAATTTTGATCGAAATACAATGTGTGAAATGCTACTTTCCACTTACTGTAAGTTATGTTCTCTATATTCTGAAATATGTATAAACGATTCTAAATTAATGGCTAAATTCAAAGTTAATAATGAATATTTATATTCATAGGTAAATTTGGAGACCGTGAACGCATTTTAGAACTGTGGAAAATAATGTGCACGAAAAATATCGAATTCAGCGAATACTTCAAAAATGAGTTTATCCATTATCTATCTTTAAATAAAATTCCGCTCCCTCCTGAATTAACTAAAACATAAATACAACAAATGGTGAAATTAAATATAAAAAAATAAACTAGAGATAACGATAATCCAAAAATAAATAGTCCAATAATAGAAATTCTTAAAATAAATTTGGTAATGAAGATCTATATAATATAGATGAGATTTTTCCCATTTTGAGAATTTCTTTCGTCTTATTCTGTCATCTTATCGTTATTTCGCGTTTATTTTATTATTTCCAAATAAATATTGTTAGTAAAAAAATAAAGTATATCTAATAAAGAGATTTTAGATTTTCCTGGAGTAATGCACCATAATCATTAATTAATTTAAAAGCTTTCTCTTTGAGTGGCTCGTAATTAATACGTTCCTTTTCTTTAGCTATAAATTCCTCGATTTTTTTATTATCATTTTTTAATGTTTCTAATTTATCTTCTAAATTGCTGATTTCCGGATATATTGTATATTTCTCCAATCGCTCTTTGAGCTCGCTATATTCTTTTCTCAGTGATTTAAGTTCGTCCTCACAGACCGATTCCTCGGACATCAATTCTTGTCGTTCGGCAATCAACTCGTCTCGTTCGAGTTCATTTCGTGTTTTCAAACCATCCAGATCCTCCAGAACAATCAATTCGCTCTGTTGCTTCTTCAATTTCTCTTTCATTTGTTTGGATTCAAGTTGCAACTTCTCCTCGAGGATCCTTAGTCTGTTGAATGTCTGTTGCATAGTCGCATAGTCTTTTTTCAATTCTTCAAAGTCATCATCACGATGCTCCGTCTCGTAATCGTTGTATGGAAATTTGTCACGCAAAATAGCTGTTTCTTCAGCTTCTGTGAGATACTCGTTGTTCTCCACCGCATTTGCTACGGTCTCTAACTTATCAACAATCTCACGCTCAAGTTTTTCTAATTTTGCCATTTCGTCTTGCTTGCTCTGTTCATACGTAGACATGAACTCCTCCATCATCTCCTCACGTTTACGCAATTCTTGATACTTCATCTGTTTCTCCGATTGATTATCTTCCATGTCAGTCTCTAACTGCTCTAACTCCTGCTCCAATTCCATCATTTTTTTCTCCTTTTCGGCTATCTGCGCCTCCGTTGCGGCGATGTCGATATTATCGCGTTTGATCTTCTGCAGAAGTTGTTCTTTCTCGTCTTCCGGTGATAATCTTTTGCGTTCTTCTTCCTGTAGTTTGTCACGTTTCTCCTCTGCTTCGATAATTCTCACCTGCAGTTTCACTGCCTCTTGCTTCAGTTGCGACAGAGCGATCTGTTCCTCCAAATGCGCTTGCTCTTTTGACAGCTGATCCAATTCTCGCTGTATCTGTTGTGCTTGTTCTTGCAATTCCATTTTCTGTCGAAACAGATCATCATATTTCTCCTTTGTGTGCGGATCCATGTTCTCGATTATACGTTCGGTCCTTTTTTCTCATTCTCAATATCCTTCTCCATTTTATGGAGTTTCTGTTCCATTTGTTTTCTTTGTTCAAACATCCGTTCGACTTCTGCCATTCTACGTTCATTCATCAATGCCAACTCCTTAGTCTCCTGCTCGATCTCCTCCTTACTGACGTCTAAGGTCATCTTGTCCACAACAAGATTGTAATCCGCTAATTCGGCTTGCAAAGTCGTCAACTCCGCAGCCAGACTCTTGGCTCTCTTGTCATAGTGCAGAAACGTGGCCTTCTCCTTGTTTTGCATCTCAATATCCTTCATTATCGTTCCGATCTCCTGTGTCAATTCTCTTATTTTCAGCTGCAATAGACCTTCATAGTATCTCTTGTCTTGAATTTGCCTAGAATGTTGAAAAATTGACAAGAATGAAAATATACTAGTAATAAGATCAGTAATAGCGTTACCTCGTCATCGGCAAACCCCTGGTGGTACCCGGTCGCACGCCTGCTATTCCATGCTGTGTAATCGGTCTATCCAGCATACTGACGTTGAATTGCTTGGCGGTTGCAAATCCCGTGTTGGAACGAGCCAGTCCAGAACCCATTCTGGAGATACCTGTACTCGCGGTTGGCGCCCGATTAGATAAAAGAGACGCCGACGGCGGTCTTGCGAGGGCGAGGCGTCCGGGTGTCGCCGAACGATAAGTCGCCGAACTGACGTATTCTGATGATTCATTCTTGTATCCTCGTCGAGATCTCGGTCTCTCATACTTGCTTTGAGGTCTGACAATGCCGGTTGGTGGCCTGTCGATCTTACTCGAAGTACTCGGCTCTTCCTGATCCCGTCGCCACCGCGTTATCGGTCGTTCTCCTATCTTACCAGAATCATTTCTCTCGAAATCCATTTCCGTTGAAAATTGAATGTTATAGATCGGAGCAATGGACACAGTACAACAGCTACGCGTTTATTTGATAATAGTGATGGTGAAGTATTGGCCGGGGAATAGAAATGTTTTGCTCAGCGTAGTCATAGAAACTGGTATATGCGTAATTCGTTAAATTTGCCAAAAGCCATGATTGTACTAAAGGTATAATTGATTTGTACTTACTGTCATCGCAGATAGAAATCGCAGATTTTAATAATTATGCATATTGTAATATTAATTACAATCATTTAAACATTTTAGCATTTACTTCTACGTCAACAAAAACTTCTCTTTTCCTTATTTGAAATATAATCAAAATTATTTCAGATAGGTTTTACAAAATGTTCTTTTTAATTTTTTTATTGATAAAGATAAATCATACAAATTATAAATTATTAATAAATCTATAAATAAAAAAAATCAAATGAAAAATAAAAAAAGATATTAGGGAACGTGCGCTCGACAATGTTCTAATATTGGTAAAATAAGCATAAATTTGGTAACTATATATAATACTCAATTTTGCAAGAGAAAAATTGGAATATAGTAATATTATAATTGTTTGCGCTGTTATATGCATATCTTAAATCGCATCATAAATTGTTAATTATTCTACTCATTTTCACGTTAGGATTGTGCAAATGAAATATCTTTGTCGATTAGAAATTTGAATGAGAAAGTACACTTTTTGTGGTCGAAAGAAAATCGAATAAAATATTTTAACAGCTACCTTGCTAAAGAACGCGTAAGAAGTATTTAATTTTTATTAGTGAATGTGCTAGTTGTTTGGATTTCAAATTATTTTAATATCGCATCGTTGCGCATGCGCTCGCTCCATCGGCCATGACAGTTCGGCGCGTCGGTTCGGACAAAGGTGGAGTATATAGAATGAGCTCCGTAATTAATTGCAATTTTTATCTATTAAAGTGTATAACAAGCGCGCATATTTGTCGAGAGTGCCGATTAAAGTAACGACTGATCACTGGAATTTTATAGATTATCGCGGATTTTCGCGATTAAGTGCCGTTTCGTTGATCGAAATCGATTGGATCGTGGATTCGAAACCGTTGTACTTTCAGTGAATACAAATTCCGATTCCGATACACATATAAAACTCGATTGATATAGTAAATTAAGAATCGATGTCGCGTGTGCCTATCATGAAAGTGAAAAATTTCGACGCAATACATTTTCGGCGCAAATGAGCAACAGTTACATCAAGTAGACTTCCGTGTGACTGTAGCGTCACTCTGTCACCTCGGTGGTGGAAATATTTCCGAGTGAGTTTTATGCGACCGTAGGTCTGCGGTGGTTACGCTCTGCACCGACGGATGGCGCCAGTGTTCTACGTCGGTAGTCGAGCGCAGGAATTACTTAATGGTTGCCAGGCAACCAACAGCGGGACTCGATTCGCGTCTCGCGTCGCGTTCGAGACGTGACGACGTGCTCACGCGGCACCGGCACCGGCGCGGTGGCGGCGGCGGTGGAGGGCCCTCGAAGTTGAATTTAATATACGTCCGTCGTCCAAGAATATCCACGCCGCGCGACCGCCTCGAGGACAGGCGAGGCGGCGAGCCGGCAGGCGGGCACTACGCGGCGAGTGGCCGTCCGAGTAACGTGTTTGCGTACTCGTCGCGATCTACTTGGGTCAGTTGGATCAAATAAACATCTCGATCGGGCGTCCGGCTGGCTACAGATTCGGACCATTCGCCACCGATCGGCTTACCTCGGCCCGTTACGCTGCTCCCGCCGATCGGCGATCCGTGATCGCTCGCGTGGCGCGCACGATCGAGTTGGCTGCGGCGAGTAAACGCGAGTGCACGCTTCCGGAGAATCGGCTTCGCATAGAAAAACGCCGCATCGGCGCGGATGTGCCTTACTCTATCCCTCTCTGCTACTTAACGACCGACAGATCGACCTGCCTATCGTAAACCGGTTCCGACGTGCATAGGCACGGTGGAGGCACGGGCCGCGGGCCTCCTCGTGCTCTCGAGAGAATGCTCTGAACCGCGGCGAGAGTCGTGCAACATCGCGCACGTTCCGCGTCCACCTTTTTAGCCTCCGTTTGTCGTTCGCGCGCGGCGGTAGAACGCGCAACCGGCGGCGTGCGCGCGTTGCGTCGCGTCGCGTCGCGTCGCATCGCGTCGCGTCACGTCACGTCACGTCACGTCGGATCGTGTGTATAAGCGCTGTGTGTAAGTGCGTGTGAATGCGTGCGGGCGCATCTGCCCGTGAGAAAGAGAGAGCCCGAGGAAATCAAGGTCCGCACATCACCGTCGCCGGCGCAGGATCATGGACGAGGAAGAGATCGACGGCGTCAAGTCACCCATCAAGCGGCTCGGCTCCACGCGGAAGCTGCTCGTCTTCAACAGTGAGTTTTTTTAAAACCTCTTCCTCTTCGTTTGTTACATCTGTGTTTAGGGATCTGCGTATATGAGATGATCGCGGATTTCGATAGTTTCGCTTCTGTGTCCTCGGAGATGCTCTCCTAAAATAAACATTTTCCGATAATCGATCATTACCGCGCCAAAGCGCTACTACGCTTCTGCGAGGTTTTAACATTGCAGCTTTTGCGAAACGATGAATTTTTCGAGAGACGCAATAAATCCGTAAGATCATAAAAACGTTACATGGAATTATTCTATTTGTATCTTTGACATATACAATTTCTGATTTCTAATTTTTCCTACGAAATAATTTGAGAATCTTTAATGAACCACCAACATCTCATATGCGATGACTTAATTTGAATCTTTTTTTTTTAATCTCGTGTATTTTGTACGATCGACATTGTCTTTAAACTCTTAAACTCAGATTTTTAGAAATAAAGGAGTTAATATCTTGCGAATCCTGCGAATATTAAAATATTCTTCGGATGCAGGAAAATGAAACAAAATACGTATAAGGATTTACTCTAATTTTAATAAATGAAGTCATTATTTACTCTGCAAAGAAAGCAATCTCGAAGAAAAGCAAAGCGTTACGGTATCTTCTCGTTCTTTCCTTGCAAAACGCAAATTCTCATCGCGTTTATTTTTTCTTTTTCGTATACTCTCTCGTAATACTTCGCGTCGTTTAGATAATGGTCTCAAGGGCGAAGTTTGGGTGATAACGAATTTCTAATTAGCTGCTTCGGACGCGAATGAATCGCGAGTGACGAGTCAGTCTATTTCGGCGCGTCATTGAATTCGCATTGTGTTATAATCCACTTCGTGAAGATTAACGAGTACGATTTCGATGAGCGAACAGGTGCGATTTGTTTGCAGAAAGCATAATACGCAAAACGTTACCAATTTCGTCGCGGGGAGAAAATGACGAAGTTTCTGAGTCTCGGAAATGAAAAAGTGCCATGTCGGTTTACATAAAGTCAATACACGTAAATATTTCATTATGTCAAATCTGTCGGAAAACTTGCAGGCGGAAGTTAAACGAAAGCATTTAACTTTTCGAGCTTTAGATCGAATCGAAAGTACAAAGAAAAAGAGAAATGCTCCAATTTTTCATTTTTAATTATTATCATATATATATATATTTTTTTTGCATTATTCGCATGTTAATTTATTCGTATTGACGTCAACTCTTATTTGGAGGTGACAATAAGATGGATTTCGATGGTAATATGGCAACCATAAGATTTTAAAGAGAATTTTTTAAAAAGGACGATTTACAATTCTACAACCTTTTAAAGAGAAACGATCCGATTGAAACATCAACATTTTGAAAATATCTAGCCCTTTCAAATTAGCTACAATACGAAATACAATAGACCGTCGTAGTTGTGTGAGAAGTGCCCCATATTTAAAGAGCGAACGTTGCGTGAATACGAAACCCGCATACGAAACGGTATATCGAAATAAAAATTTGCATTTGTGAGAAACGACAAATTCCACTTGAGAGATGCTTATAGTGATAGAAACTAGGCGTCCGGCCGTTTTACAAATAAACATGTCGTTCCGCATGAGAAGAAGAGAAACGAGTCATGCGCGAAGCAAAGCCGCGATCTTCGCCGGGATGTGAAGGCGATTTCTTATCTTGTGAAGGGATTTTTCTCATACTTCATGTTTTAATCGTCGCGGATATCTTTTTGCGAAATCAAACTGAAAGCTCCTTTGATCTTGAGTATCTTTGCAAAATGATTTATGATAAAATAGTCGCTCATATATAAATTTACATTGTTCGATTTGAATGCTTTAATCAGTAATTATTTTTTTCTCTATTTCAATATGCGTCAAATTCCACTTCAATTAATTCAAGGCAAAATTCAGTTATGCAATTTTTATGCTAATTTTTTTTTTAAATTGTAAAACATAATATGATTCCATAGAAGATTATACTATCGTCATTATTATCCTTTACAACATCGTTAGAGCTATGGAAACTTAAATCGCGAGAATTTTAATGCGTCATCGACTGGCGATTATGATTTGATTTTTTTTTTCTTCGTAGTATTTTAATAGAATAGCCGATGATTGAAGAACGAGTCTGATGCGCCTATTCTTCCAAAATAATTCGCGTTCCTTCCATCGAACCGCGATGGAATTGTGCGTTTATTAAATTTAAAAACATACCGTCATTGTCGATGATAGAACACAGTGAGAGGCGATCAAGTGCAGGCAGTTGCACCACCATTGGAATGCTGGTGCATACGAGAGACGAAGGCTGCAACATGCAGCAGGCACTCCTAGTCGAATCGTTCTCAGATCACATGTTGATTCAAACTCCGCTCGGAAGATCAAATATGTATGTACAACGATATTTGCGATCACATCTCATCGCAAAATTTGGTCTCCAATAAATTAATTATAGCGGAAAGATTAACCCTAGATTTCTCAGTTAAATTCTATCCACAGAAACTTGTGACAGTTTTTTTTAATGTACAACACAAAGAGATCTTTTGAGAAGTGACTGCGTCACTTATAAATAGACTGTAAAAATAGTTTCAAATTTAATTATCGCAGCTGAATATTTAACTCGGAAAAAATTAAACAATCGTAAAATTTAGATGCTGATTATTATACATATAATGAAATTTTTAATCATTGTTAACTAATAAATGTTAATACCTGCCTAATAGCTGTTTCTATAAAAATCTGATCTTCTGAATCGAGATTGATCACATATCTGAGTCTTTTAACGGATTTTATGATTGATCGCTTTAAGAAGCGACTCTCCTTAAGATGCGTCTCTCAACGAAACATGTTATTTCAGCCTTCGACTTTACGCTTGTTTTTGTATATTTAACCAAATATTTCATAAACCAAAAACCTTCTCCCATTAATCGAAAGAAAACAATCCATCGAGAAATTTTTCTCTCCGTCTTGATCATTCAATCGA